ATTATGGAAAACCAATTAATTGGTTCCTGGACCCCAAAAAATTACACCTAAATATGTTTTTTTTTAGCATTTAAAAACAAAATGAACCGAATAAAACAAGAAGAGCATATACTGTACTAAACACATCTAAACAGTATCAAAACAGTAATTTGTAAAGTAAGAAAATAAATGTATTGAAACAATTTGTAAAGTTAAAAAACAATGTGTTCAATGTGCCCCGATCGTCCGCTCCTTCCGTGTACCACGCCCCCTCGTTAACCCCATGAGATCAGCTGTTTCTGGTTGTTGTCATTAGTTCTGCGTATTTAGTCCGCGTTTCAGTTTGTTTCCCCAGTCCGGTCATTGTATTGTCCGTCTCGTTTTGCTTGCCTTACCGGTAATTAATCCCGTATTCCCCAATACCCTGACGTCTGCGCCTTTGTCTCCGTTCCGTCTCCGCTCGGCATGACAATATTATAATTAAATGTATTAATGGTTTATTATTAATATTAAAATGATAAAGAAATCTTTATTTTTAAATGTATTTTATTATATAATAATAATTACTGTTACTGTCTATCATTGTCAATGTATTTTTACTGTCTAAATATATGTATTCAGCTAGTATAAACATGCATGATGCTATCACAGCTAATTCGAGACTGAGACTGAAGCGTTACCCTTTGTTTCCGCTGAGAGACGTGCGACGTGACTCATTTCCCCAAGCATACAATTTATCTTAAGTCGGCGTTCACAGTTCGACTTCTGTGATTCATATCTAGTTCTAGGTATTTTTTTTCAAACTGGTTGGTTCGACTTTTAAGAAATTTGAGTTCTAATGAGTTCAAGAACTGAGGTACCACCACTGTATAATATTTTGTTGCCCAGTACTAAGCAAGCCTGCTGATGCTTTTGTTCAGGTGTGCCTCGAAAGAATGAAGAAGAGAAGCAATTTGGTGATTTCAAGATATTTGATGACCCACAAAACACCTATTCCACGTTGAGGAGCTTCTGCTACTCCAATGAAGCCTTTGCTCGACTGCATGACCTCATGGAGTTCAATACTCTGAACAACATTGAGGTCTGTTGAGTTCCATCTTCTCCCCGTACCTGTAAACATCTTCCCAGACTTAGTTTTACCTGTTAACTAAAACTCCTAAGAATGCTAAGGATATGTATTTCTTATGAGCTGCAACACAGCCATTCCTTGTGAGGTTGGCGTTACTCTTTTTGACCAGTGAGAGCAGAGAATTTGCTTCCTCAATCATATGCCTCAGTGTCCCTTTTTGCTTTTCCAGGTGATCAAAGATGCTATCAAGGGCTGTGTTCTGAACAGGAGAGAGAACCCATCATGTTTCACCCTTGATTAAGTTGGAAAACAGGCAGTTTCTAGGATTGAACCTTGTGGAAAAGCCCAGCCCACTCAGACACATGGTTGAGTTACTCATGTAAATGGTATATTATTAATTGAATCTGCTTTGCTTATAAGTTTTATGAGGATGCACGCTGGATGTACTGTATTCTGGTCAGAGAGTTTTAGTGTAAAGATCTACCAGGTACCTTAGATCAAGTCACAGAAGGAGGTTTGGAAAGAAAGTAAAAGAGAAGGTACAGTAACACTTTACATTAAGGTCTGCTTTTTAACATTTAAGTAACTAATAATATCCTAACAGGGGCAACATGGTGGTGCAGTGGTTACCACTGTTGCCTCACACCTCTGGGACCCAGGTTCGAGTCTCCGCCTGGGTTACATGTGTGTGGAGTTTGCATGTTCTCCCCGTGTCGTCGTGGGGTTTTCTCCGGGTACTCCGGTTTCCCCCCACAGTCCAAAGACATGCTGAGGCTAATTGGAGTTACTAAATTGCCCATGGGTGTGTATGTGTGAATGAATGGTGTGTGAGTGTGCCCTACGATAGGCTGGCCCCCTGTCCAGGGTTGTTCCCTGCCTCGTGCCCGTTGCTTCCGGGATAGGCTCCGGACCCCCCACGACCCGGTAGGATAAAGCAGGTTGGAAAATGAATGAATGAATAATATCCTAACAAATGGTTACATATTTTTATAAGCAAACATACAAAAGGTTTATAAATGCTTGTAAGGCAGGTTAATGGGTTCTTAATATGCTTACAATTGATTTCTTATTGTTTATAAGCACACTTACAAATGATTTACAAATGTTTATAAAGCAGGTTAATGGGTTCTTAATAATATGCTTATGAATGGTTACTTATTGTTTATAAGCACACTATGGGAGGTGAACTGCTGGGTTAGGATGGGAGAGAGGCGCATTGGGTAGGCAAGAGAACTGTGTGTACGTGCTTCTTTTCAGAGGGGTCCAGGTTGTGGGTTGTTTTTTGACACGTATCGTAAGTTAAGTCACTGGTGACCAGACGACATTGGGGCAACTGGACTAGCAAATACAGACAAGAAGAATTCAGGAGTCTGTCAAGACAAGAATAACTGGCTGAGGATAAGGGAGACGTACTGTAGGACATACAGGAAGAGGGAACAGATTTGACTGGAAGATGCTTGCTGCAAAAGAGGCCAAAGTTATTGATCATGTATTGCAATATGATAGGCTCTGATAATGCAGAAGATTTTGTATGCATAAGGAATATATAAGCTTAAGATGACATAGCA